TCTTCTTTATGTGTACAGATGTGACGTAATGACTCGATATGGCCCACTAGCCGAGACTCCTTCTTTATGTGTACAGATGTGACGTAATGACTCGATATGGCCCACTAGCCGAGACTCCTTCTTTATGTGTACAGATGTGACGTAATGACTCGATATGGCCCACTAGCCGAGACTCTTCTTTATGTGTACAGATGTGACGTAATGACTCGATATGGCCCACTAGCCGAGACTCCTTCTTTATGTGTACAGATGTGACGTAATGACTCGATATGGCCCACTAGCCGAGACTCCTTCTTTATGTGTACAGATGTGACGTAATGACTCGATATGGCCCACTAGCCGAGACTCTTCTTTATGTGTACAGATGTGACGTAATGACTCGATATGGCCCACTAGCCGAGACTCTTCTTTATGAGTACAGATGTGACGTAATGACTCGATATAGTCTACTAGCCGAGACTCTTCTTTATGTGTACAGATGTGACGTAATGACTCGATATAGCCGACTAGTCGAGACTCCTCCTTTATGTGTACAGATGTGATGTAATTACTCAATATAGTCTACTAGCTGAGACTCCTTCACCAGTACCACTGGAATTAAAAACATTTTTACAAGCTTACTGCTTTGAATCGAGCTAAGCCAAGTTTTGAACACTGTTTTGAACAGTGGCTGGTTATGTCTTTGTTAAAAAATCTATTTTAGATCATTTTTAACCCAATAAAAGTTACAAACTGCAGTTTTAAATAAGCATATGAACAGCGTGCTTCATGTTCAAGCATGGCACTGCGATCAAAGCATATCGATCGGTTTGCAGTAAATGCTGCTCCATAATTACAAGCGCTGTGAGTTTGAGACCCTTATAATGTGCATTTGAAAAAGCAACACACACACCAATCAACTTTCTAAACTTGTAATGACAAGCATTTGCAAACCTGTTGTCCAACAAAAGAGAATAATATAGTTTATCCTCCTAACTCCCTTTACAACGTCAGAGTGTAAGGATTTGCATGGAGGATTTGATGCAAATCGACCCGAGTTCAAATCCACCCTGTTGCCGAACTCGCTCTACTCCCTTTTCCTATCACAAATCAGATTGGAAAGCCATTTATTTTCAATAATAATGAATGAAATATTTTAAAAAAAGAAAATAAATGGTTTAACACATGTTTAATAAAAAAGTTAAACATGTATTTAGGTAGGATCAGGGGTAGGTGTTGGGAGGGCTTTATAGTCCCAATAAGTATACATCCATTTAATAATTTTAATAAATAGCAGCTATCGCTATTCGTACTTAGTTCAAGTACAAGTACATGTTTTCTGACCTCTATAAGTCACACTTGTGGACTTTCTGCACGAATGCCCCCTCTGGGTACGAGTATGAATGAAAAAAACATTACTTCACATGTGTGTACTCACTTTACATTTTTATCATAATAATTTAATATTTTTAAATAAAACTTTAAACCTTACAAAGTTTGTAATTAGAAGAAGATTTCAATATGAACTCAAATATTTCTCAAACTATCCCAATACCAAATTTTAACCTTAGATATGCAATTCACATTGTTTTTATGGCTCTATATTTCACTAACGATTGACTCATTTTGTCTATTTTTAGTCCTCCAAATCAATTGTAGGAGAAACGTCAGAGACTAAAACTTTAGACATGAATGAACTCTATTTCAAGACCTCATTAACGTTTGCTTTGAACAGTTTTCCTCTGAGATGACAACATATTTTAGCTTTTGCCTCTATTAACATATTTAAAATAAAGATAAAAACTGATTGATTTTTCCTTGTAGTAAAAATGCAGTGTGGGAGGAAAAGAAAAAAGCAGAATATGAAAAGGCAGAACAGAAAGGAGAGAGGGAAACAAAAGAAAAAAAAGAACCAGAAATAGAATATGAGGGAAGCAGAAGATAAATTATTTACTCCTGCGTATCCTTGTGTTACACCACTGACCTGAGACTACCACTTGACTCAACCAATCAAACGGCAGAATCAGCCTCTTTCACTTAAGAACAGCTAATCAAACCATCAGCAAGCCTATATGCTTTTAATTTATTCCATGATATCACTGTTTGCACATTAACATTAACAATACGCTACACTAAAATTCATTCTTGTTTTTAACCCTATAAAAGGCAACGTGTCTCACGAGATACGTCGTTTTTATTGTCTTTTTTGGGGCATAAAAGCGATTTTTTTCATCAAATTATATTATCACTTATGACAGCTTGGTCTGTCTTGAGCAAGCTGGTCACATGATTTGCATCAATTTTTTTTTTTTTTTTTTTGGTGATCAATTAGTCAGCCTGACCAACATGGCTGCCAGTGGTGCAGAACATTCAGATTTTGAGATAAGTATATATATATATATATAAAACTTACTTTTTATTCTAAAGAAAAAGGAAAAGGAGAAAATTAAGTCATATGTTGTTCATTAAATCAAATATACTGTACTTCATATTTATTCTTTTTTTTATAAAATATGTATTTTACTATACTATTTACTATAAAATCAAAGCCATATATCTAACCAAGTTGTGTTCCGAATTTGAAGTTGATATCACAAATATTTAAAGGTGCTCTAAGCGATGTCATACGTTTTTTAGGCCAAAACATTTTTTGTCACATACAGCAAACATCTCCTCACCATCCGCTAGCTGCCTGTACCCTAAACACACTGAAAAAAAAAACGCGGTCTATGCGGACACCCCAGGCTCCACAAATGGCAACAAAAACAAACTGCGGCAACCCGTCCACGAAACATAACAAACTGTTCCAGCCAATAACTGACAAGAAGGCCCTGGGGGTGGGGTTTGGGGGGGTCAGTGCAGATGAGGAGGAGGGAGGGTCTATCTAGCCTCCATTTTGTTTAAAAAAAAACTTTAAACGTCAACAAGAAGTCAAGTCACCTGACATCGCTTAGACTAGAGCACCTTTAAGTTCCCATGAGAGTTTGTTTAAGCATAATACCAAAAATAGCCACCGGGTGACTTACATTTTCAATTGCATTTAATTGTATGCATTCTGCCATAACAAATTAATACATTTCTGTCCAAATTCTGTCACAAAATATGGAATCTTGAGACTCAGACCTATATGACAATATGTGTTTTGTCAAGATTAGAAAAGGTTTTGATCATAAATTATGAAACATGACGATAAGGGGAGAAGCCCATTAAAATAATTTAGAATACCGTTTCTATGGTAACACGACGTCCAATTTCAAAACAGGTCTCACATGCAGAATCTTGAGTTCGTACGCTTTCGAATGATATATAATTTGTCAACATAATTGTTTTAAACATACAGTGGGAGTAACAGTTAACAGATTGATGACTTGGTCCTTTTTTTTATAATCAGCAACATGTCTCAAGAGAGACAACTCATAAAATCCAAAATATATCAAATTTAAAAAATATATATATATTGGATATGTTGTATTTAAGGCCAGATGACATAAAAAATTACATGAAATTATTTTTTGCTTTTGCATTTTCCACTCCTGCCTGTTTAAGGGCTAAAATCTGAAAAATAATAATACAATTCTGTTACAATCTCCTCCTTTTCCGTCATGCAGGGTATTGTGGGTAATTAAAGCTGAGAAAGCATGCATGAACACATGCTTCAAATACAATTTATATACAATTGATGTACACTATTTTCAAAATATTATTATTTGGGATGCACTGATTCTCATCTTGCAAACAAGATGTGAGATTAAACCATAAGCAAGAGACACAAGCCCATTATTGTCAGGAAGCAACTGGGAAAATGACAGGAAATAAGTTTGGAAATGCAACAACATAAATCAACATTATCAACCAGGCATTCTCAGAGTGAATCCAACGGTCTACACAAAAGGTGCCCGTATACACGCACATGCAATACAAACACAAAGAAAGGCTGATAAATAGAGAAGCAGAAGGAGGAAGTTAACAAGCTGAAATGGGAAGTTAACAACAGCTGATTGAAATAGCTGATTTCAAACTAACTTAGAGATGTCACATCATACTTCCTTAATAAAAGCTTTTGAGGTAAACGTGTATGTAACCATGAGCTATAATGGGCACAGCTAACAGGGGACTTGCCTGGATTACTCAATTCAGGGTTAGATTGATCAACAAACTTCCCCATCATCATTTTCAAATTGAAGACAGAACCGTGGAAAACAGGCTTTGGTCTCGATAATTCAAGGTCAAGGGTGGAGGCTTCTTTGTGAAGCAATTGCACACACAAATAAACGTGCACACATAGAAACATGGTTTAAAAGGTGCACTTCATGTCTTACAGGGATTCACCCAAAAAATAGCATTCTGTCATCAAGTACATCATGTCGTTCCAACCCTATTTGACCGTTCTGTCTTTAGGACACAAAAGGAGACACTTTTAATAATGTTCACAATGTTCTTTTGAAAGCTATGGCGGGGGCGATTTTCAACGAACGATGACCTAAATTTAGATCTGTACCTGTTGGCTGATATCTTCAAGAGCAAAGTTTATATTATACATATTACATACAGTAGCCAGTGAATATAGTATAACGGGCATCTTTCAAGGTTTGTGGAATATAATTGTGCGAATATAAGAAAGTATTATAGCATTTGCCTTTCTATAACTAATAATAGAAATGCAAACGGTGTGATAATTTTCATATACCATTTACATTCTTTGTTTAACATTTCTACCTAATAAAATAAATAACTTCTTCCAACTTCATACATTAATCAGCCAAACATAAAAAACGTATGTTGAATATGAGCTGATATATCAGACTTAGTGATGTGTCGGACAAACGCTGGTTTTTAATTTTTGTAAATTAATGACAGAACAAAATATATATGATTTATAAGCTTGTTTCCACATGGGGTTCCTCAATTTGGGTCCTCACGGTGACACGAGTTCCCATGAATCAGTGTGCATTCCGGTTGAAAATCCAAGCATGCGCACACATGCACATATACACACAGACAGCTCAGTTTTGCATACACACCTGCAAAACGGCCACTGGCGCGGCGGCGGGAGGGCGACACCAGCTCCTTAACAATCTGCAACACTTGCATGATCAGAAGAGGGCGGGGTCAAGGCACGGACAGGTGTGGTTGGGGGCGGGGCAAGTGCAGGGCAAAGCACAACGAGCATCATTCTCGCCACCAACATACAAAAATAGCAAAATAACAATCAAAAGATGATTGGTTTCTCTACATAAAAACGCAGGATTTCTATTTCTACAGCCACCACACTGAGCGTAACGAATTCTTCCATTCAATTTATCATTGATCGTCTCCTCCCCTCTGTCTCGTCTTTGTATTCATTTCAAGTTTCTTGAATCCAAAGGGAGCTTTGGTCCGCAAGACCAATTAAAACACATCACTAATTCATATCACATCAATTAATCACATAGTTCAGCATCCAAAACACAGTTTTTGTCTTCCTCTGTACTTCATAAACCACATCAAATCCATCCAGAAGGAGTATTGAGGGTTAAAAACAGAAATGCATCCTGCAGAATTTGCTTTCCGCAATCCAGGTCCCACCAGTCAAAAGATGAGAGTCCGTGTCTGTCTTCTTCTTCATCGCTCACATCATTTCTCGCAGCTTGCCTCTGTCTCTCACAAACACTCTTCTTCCAATCAGAGTTGGCTTCTGCAGTTCTTCTCTTGTTTTTTCTCTCTCTCTCACTGTTTCACAGATAGACACTGTCCAGTTCTCTCTCCTGTTCCCCTATGTTTGTGTATCAAAGAGACCATCTGAAAAAGTGTCTCCACTTCTCTCTCTCTCTCTATCGCAGTCTCTGGCATCCAAATCAATACAGCCAGGGCAAGCTATATAACACAGCTCTACTCTATTCCCCTCTCTCTCTCGTTTATTCTTCACAGCCCAGCTCGCCACTGACACACACGTTCCAGCTTTAAATTAGAGAGCATCTGTTACAACAGCCCCTCCCCTCAACTCTCTCTCTCCTCTATTCCTCCTGTTTCAGGATTAAATGTGAATATGTGCTGATCTCATATCATATCCAGATATCCAGAATAACATTGGGATTGTAAAGGTGGAATCCTTCAAGATGGTAGATAAGAAAACGATTCTAATGCCTCACTCCTGTTAACGATTATTATTGCAATTTTGAAGAAACAATGAGAGAGAAGCCAGTTGTCTGTTTTTGTAGAGGAATGGAGACTTTCAGAAACATTAATAGAACTAAAGTTGTCATGAAAATCTTTCGACAGATAGAAAGACACAGATACAGAAAGATATTAGACAAACACATAGGTTCACGGCCGATGAGATCGACCTTCTCGTCAGGGCCGTGAAAGACAGAGAGGTGACATTTTATGGGGATGGGAGAAACCCGCCCAAATTAGCTTCGGTTAAACAGGCGTATAATAATTTGGGTAAATGTGCAAGCTAGATTTATGCCTATTTTTCACACCTTCGTGGACACCACAATGATTTCCCTCATGTGGTAATATTTTTCCTTGCAATTATTCCTTACTGGTTGCAAAAATGGGAACGCAATCTGAGAAGGCCCAAGAGAGACTTTTAAAAATTGTTATACGATAAAATCATATAATACATTATTAGATTGAAATTTGAAGTGCTCAATTATTGCGATCACATAATTGCAACAGGCTTAATTGTGATCATAAATGTGGCAATTCATCCCTCTTTTTAATAGTTCTTGTACTACACACAACAACCCACAGTAAGTGAAATAAAACAGACATTTGAGAGAGATTTGAGTTCAGGTATTTATATATATATATATATATTTTTTTTTTTTTTTTCACACACAACACATGCTCTCACAGCAAACCTGCAAAACACTAATCATATACCAAACCCCAGAGTTAAATCACACATACCCAACCCCATGCATGTATAAATGATTACACACACACACACCCCCGCTCCAAGCATGCTATTCATCTACCTTTGCCTTTTTCAGTGCCTGATCTTGCTCAAGGACAGTGTAATCATGGCTGGCTGCAGCAGTGTGTCTTGTGCAGACATCTAGCAGTACGTGTAACCTCCGCTGTAATCAATCTCTACATAATGGCCTCATTTGGATCTAATTACCAACCTACTTTCCTGAAATGTGCTGAAAGCGTCAAAAACACAAAACAGCCTGACAACATTGCATCACTGTTACATCACCACTGCTCACCCCAAACAGACACTAGTAAACCATTTTTAAACCATGAGAACCATGTGACTATTTAACCACAGCTATCATGGGACTGTAGCTGAACCAAACTGCAATGCAACTTCAGCATTACTTCAATCAGTAAATAATACTTTCATCCCTGGAATGTTCTTTTGAATTACCGTAACCTTTGCAGGAACCAGTCAACGGAGTATGTTAATCTTATTCAGCACTGCTTGCTCAGGGGTGAAGAAATACAGATAGACAGACAGACAGACACCTTGATATTTCTGATAATTTTATGTGGTTTTAAAAAAGATTTTCCTCCCCAACACAGAGCTTCAATTACCCCAGAGTTATGCTTATCAGACAGCACACACACAAATCAATCTGTGTCTCTGTCACTGTGGCCTTATGGGAAATTGATGGCTTTGACTTCCAGAATTTCTAACTTAAGAATACTGAACTTACAGTGAAACGGATTCAAAGAAAAGAAAAGACAGAAACTGTAGGATTCCACTAACCCACTTTTAGCGTGTCAACCATTTTCCATCAGAGTTGAGGGTGAGATTCATGTTATTCAGAAGCAGCTGACAACCTTCTATTTCTTGAAAGAGTTTTGATCTTGGGGTTTTGGTCTCGAATCTTATTAATATCGCAAAAACCTGGTATTAGGCTAGGAGTAAAAACTAGATCTTGGTTTGGATCATGTTCTTTGGTCTTATATATTGGTGAGAATCTCCATGACCCACTACAAGTGTTAGGCTGGGTCTTCTTTGTAGGTTGCTGTCTTTGTATCTGGGCTTGAGGATTTAAGATTTGGTCTATATCTGGGCCTTGAGAGATTTGGGTATTAAGAGATCACTAATTGGTCTGGTCGTTAGAGGGTCTGGCAGTAGCCGCGTTTCCACTGCCGGGCTAGGGCTGGGCCAGAGCTAACAGCGAGCCGGGCCGAGCTAGTGGCCTCGGGCCTCAAGCACCGGGCTTGCGTTTCCACTGCCGGGCCAGTAGCCCCACAGCGCTGCCCCAGACCCCACCCCTAACACGCCTTTCAGGATCAAACGTCATAAAACCCAACCCATTTCAGCGGGTATTATGAATTAATTTATTTTTTTAAATTAGGAAGATAGCATGTATATTAACTCAACTGCCGTAGTGGCTGCAATAGTGTCCCGAGACCAGTACAGGCGATTCTCCATTTCAAGCAGCGATTTTTTGCGCGATATAACAAGTAGGGCTGCGGGCACGTTTTCAAGTTATTCATTAATCGTTAACCGAGGCCCATCGGTTAATACTCGGTGCATAGTGTGCGCGCCGCAACCTCGAGATACAGAGTAAATTTTTAACACCTTTAATAACTGATTGGACCCCATTTGAAACGAAATTAATTTATAGAAATAAAACGCAGCAAGTACGGAGCAGTTAAAGCCCCATTTCCATCACCCTTCAAACTGAAATTGCCAATTGAAAATAAGCAAAACGTCCATTTCACAAAAACTCCGTGTCTGCAAATAATAATAATAATAATAACCATCATCATCATTATTGTAACATTTTATTAGGCTGCATATGTAGAAGACGCCTTTATCCAAAAAAGGAACAGAGCACAAATAAACAAAATATTTTTGACAAATATCAGCGCATATCCAGTGGAGCACGCACTGATGGCTGCGAGACGCCCATGTGAACAGTTTCATTGCATTTCTTTTAGTGGAAACAACTTAAAATACTCTTTAATTTCTGGTCATACAGAAAATAATAATACATTATTCGCAAATACATTTATTTATAACAAGAAAACGTTGTGCTTTAACAATTAAACAAGGCGCGCTTCATGATCTCCGTGAACTGAAGCGCGAGACCTGAAACAGCCACCGCATTCGAATTTGTTCGTTTTAATTTGGACATTTAAAGCTTTAGTCTACAGGGGTTATATCCTTTGTAGATTAAAGCTTTAAATGTCCAATTTAAAACGAACAAATTCGAATCGAAAGCCAATATCTTCTATGTTTGCTTAATTTCTCTTTAAATGTGCATCCGGAGATGGAGATATGTTTTTAGCCGAAAATCATTTAGAAAACAATAGTTTATTAATAAACAATTAATACCTCGTTATTTTATATTATTTTATTATCAGACACATTTATTATAGCCTATAAATCACCCATAAATCCCCTCCTGTAGGCTGTGGTTACGTCTCTTCTCATTCAGCACTGCGGGGAAAATATCATTTCCAGGTTCTAATTTGGCCTCAGAAAACCAGTAAAATATATATTTTTTTTCATATTAATTTGTCAAATATTTTAAATGTTTAAGGGGCAAAAAAAATCAAACAAATGTCTGAAAATTCGTCGATATAGCTAGCCTATATATTGTTGCGCAGCATTTGGCATAGGCCTATACGTTCAAATTAAAATGTTATGCAATTTTAAACGGTTAATCGGTTAAACATGGACATCCCTATGTGCATCTTGCTTCAGATCATAACGTTCCATAACACCGATAAACTCCGCCTTTTACCTTGAGCACGTCTCAAGCCCGAGCTGGCCCCCTCTGGCCCAAGGTATTCGATGGGCCAGAAATCCTGGCCGTTGGCCCTGAGGAAGCCCCGATCAAGCCCCGGAAGTGACAGTGGAAACGCGACTGGCCCTGGCACGCACTAGCACGGCCCGGCCCTGGCCCGGCAGTGGAAACGCGGCTATTGTTCTATATCTGGGTCTGGATCTTAAGGAATCTGTACATTTTATGGATGTAGGGGGGTCTAGATTCTCAGGGGCTCTGGTGTTGGTTTGGGTCTTAGGGATAAATGTTTTGGAATAAAGAGAAGACGAACCCGACATTAGGAAATAGGCTATGCGAAGCTGAGAGTCTCGCGGACTCAGGCTCACAGGCTCATCTGAAGTACAGAAAAAGCCCTGATCTCTAGATGCATTTCATTATATAGCCAGACCTCATTTCATATGTAAATTTACTTACTTCCAAATTTACTTTACTCGCCCAGACTTACTATGGTCAGAAGTTGATTTACATGGTACAATTTGCTTATTGGGAATTAGCATTCCCAGACAGCAAACTGACATTGAATCAACGTGGAAACAACGTCTCTCATGACATCGAAACAACGTTGATTTTGCTCATCGAATTAACGTTGAACCAACGTCAGACGCGGCATTCTTCAAAGCTAAATGAAAATTGAAAATTGGTTTGCATTCATAACGTTGAAACAATGTTGATTTCAAGTTGATTTTCTGTTAGTTTTGAAAGAATGTCAACGTTGGTTCAACATTAATTCGATGAGCAAAACAATGTCAGATCAACGTTGTTTAGATGTTATGTTTCCATGTTGATTCAATGTCAGTTTGCTATCTGGGTAGAGTTAGCACCTTCTGTGAGCAGGAGGGTTTAGCCATCCACCCTCCTTCATGTGCATGTTATCTCTCAACTCTTAAAAACCTTATTATAACCATAAAACTTCAAATAATAGACCAGGCTTTTATTTTCCCAAATCGTCGAACTGCACTGGCTTGGATTTTAGACGGACGTCTGCGTATATGAGACCGGGCTTTATAATTTAGTGTTGAGATGTTGTTCACCGAGTCTCTAATCTCTAAAAATTTCCAAATGTTCGAGATGGTCCTTACTGCGGAACATGAAATCCATGGGGAGGAGTCGGATCCAGATCCAACTCCTCCCACCTTACATACACCTAAACCTAACCAACTCC